TCCCCATCTTCACTTTTTTCATTGTCTGCATATCGGCCTCCTGCCATCATCTAACTCCACCCTTTTCACAACCACCCTCCCTTGGACATGAGGCCTACCCCATAAGTTCCCCGATTTTCGTATATCTACCACCCCTACACAAGAAAAATCTTGAAACTACCCCTTTTTTTCAAGTAAAACGTACCGGTATCAGTCATCCATCGAAGCTGGTAGGGGTTACTACCCTACCATGTACTCTCTATCAAAATGTACCGGTAGTACCTCCTCCACGTCACCTTCTCCATGGAAGACCCGCACGTGTTGCCCCACCCCTATCTCAATGACCCCTACCCCCATTATGCTTAGAAAATAGAGCAATAATAAGGGGTATTTGCGGTGAACATGCTGCAACTACCCTGGCATAATTGCCTACCCGGTCGGCGTCACTCAGTCATCGCGGCCCGGCCGTCGGGTATGATAGCCGGCCGCCGGGCCGGGCCGCTCACATGATGTCCGACGGTCCGTGACTTCAGTAGCCTGAGCCTAGTGTCACTCGGACCGGGTCCGAGCGGGCCGGGGGCGGACGCCGGTCCGAGATCGGGCCGGGATCAGCCTGGCGGCCGCCCGGCCGCCCGCCGCGTGGCCCAACGCAGGTTGTAGCGGTTACAATTTCTTGATTTCGTAACGGTCGACGCCGACGGCGGCAACACGAAATTCTGAGTTGAAGGTGGAAATTTTCAAAAGATCAGGATGATATTGCAGGATTTATGAAATATTATTATATGGTTCAAACTTTACATTGTATGTTTCAAATATCAATGGTTTTCATTGTGAATTTGGAACCTCCCTTCGGGAAATACTTGTGAAGGACGCGGAGCGAAATGAAGATGGCCTTGGCGCACGTGACGAGGGGCATGAGGAGAGTGGCAGAGATGCAAAGAAGGAGCTTGAGCATGAAGTTGCCTGCTGCTCCTGATGCTGCCACTTTTGTCTCTTGTGTCCGTGAAGAAGTCGCAAAGATCTCATGGTGGGGCAACCCACAGGTACGCCCTCTTCTGGGTCAACGCTGCGGCGTATGTGCTGCCATTGAAAGTGTGTTCTATGGTAGAGGCTCAGTTTTCTACATTGACCTCCCCTACTGAAATTATTCTTCTCGCTGTCCTGTTGTTGTGTCTCTTTGTTCCTGTGTCCACATTTCTGACCTGATCCCATCTTTTAGCGTTTGCAAGCTGCCAGAGAAGAGTTCAGCCATTTCATGTCAAACGTTTCGCAACTTCCAGACTTGAAGGTTGGTATAGTAGCAGCTGGTGCTGTAGCGATTCTTGAAACCTACGGCTGTTTCGTTCTCGGTGAAGTGATTGGCAAGCGACAATTGATCGGTATTGTACTTCAACATTTTGTATTTGTTCATTTTGACTGCTCGTAGGTTATCCAGTGAAAGTTGCTCACTCCCATCACCATTGATTATAGTGCTTTATGTGTGGAAACGCGTGGGCTGTCTACGTACAGGCATGCAATTGGCCACCTGCAGTTTATCAAGACCTGTTGAACTGGTATTAAAGTAGAAGTTTGCTGAGCCATTGGGCTAGTGCAGATTCCACCGTCGAATCCTTGAGGCCTGAAGAGATTTTGAAACCATCACGATCTTGCTATAGTCTCACTGGCAAGTACAAGAAACTTTAATCCTGACTCTGAATGACTTGATTCGCTTTACGAGACAGCAACTACTGATACAAAGCAGCTCTCAATGAGAACTTGAATTGCCTGATATTACCAGGCGAATCCAAACAACCCTCAATCATCCGTAGAGCTCCATAAGAACTGCACCACTAGCGCAGTGACATTGTCCAAGCTTCCTTTCTCAATCGCCATCTCCGTTAACTTGTCAGCGGCGCCTTTGCAACTAATGATTTGAGTCAAAAATAGGGTAACCGGCCCTACGATTTCATCCAACCTTTTGTTCTCGCGTATGTGCTTGCTTACAGTCTCAATCACACACTGGTCTCGCATAACGTCGAAAAGTCCGTCCGACGCCATGACAAGAAACTCGTCCTGCGGCAAAATCACCTCAGCAAGCCCTGAACCATACTCACTTGTGGTAGAAGCTCTATGGTCTTGATCTCTGGATCTGAAGTGACAAGTTTCCTCGGCTCTTTCATCAAAATATCGCCTATAGCTCGGCTCACAGCGAGAGCCGTCGGGCCAGCAACCTGAAAATGGTTAGTATCGCGATTGCACTGTCATCAGGACTGACTCTGTAAGTTCCCCTGAAAATGACATGCCCTCCCCTTGCTTCCACGGCTTTGCGCTCATCTGGACGATCAGGCTTGTGGTCTTCTGAAACCCTCAAATACCTGTACGGATACATGAAAAGAAAACCAGGGGATTTGGAATCCGCTACCTTCCTTGCCTGGAAAGAATTCCACGAGAATCACCGACCCATCCCATATGCAGAAAGTTGTTCCTCAGCAGAGCCAAGAGCGCAGTGGTCCCATCTCTCAACTGCTCTTCTCGTGCGATTGAGAGAAATCTTTCATACAGGAATTTTACAATTGTAAGTGGTAAATCAACACAGTACGTCCTTACCTTCTATCGATCTCAGCAAATGAAGCAGACATTGCCTCAGAAATCTGATTTTCGTCGGGCGTTATTTCAGACTGCAGTGATTCTTGCAAGACATGAGGAAGATTGTCTCGAGCATATTTCGATGCTCTTGAACCACCGTGGCCGTCAAAAACCCCAAAAGATGCCAGCCTCTATGAATGAAATTGCTCATTACCTAAAATTCATGGGTTACAATCATATCACCTATTCCACAAGATAAAACCAACCAGAGACGTATCTTCCATGTACGGTCTTTTTCCTTGTCGTTCCGACAAATCATGTCTGACTTGCAGTGGAATTCGGCACGCATGGATATCATCATCAAACACTTTGACAGTGCCGTTTGATTTGAGCTACAATCAACGAGTCAAAGGAAAACAAGAATCTCACTGAAATATATAAAACAAATGCTGTTGCACAATGAAAAGAAATCTTGAAACTCCAATCATTAAGAAGTCGGAGAGCTTAGGATGAATGAAAGGGTTGTTGAGAGATGGAAAGGATCGTATGAATGATTGAGGCAATAGTCACAAATGTAACAATTCGAGTTTGAATTGCACAAGAAATGAAGTATGAAAGTATCATGCTCACTTGATCTGGAGAAAAGGGTGAGGACTTTTCCTGAAGTCCGGCATCATCTCTGCGCCTTCGATTCTTTTCTTCCAATTTGAATCTAGAATTGAAATGAAAAACATTATTTCAAAATGAAGTTCTTGCAGTAAAATCATCAAGAATTGTGCGCTGACCTCTTCTTTGTAAGTTGAGAAATACTTGATGAATTCACGTTCTCACGATTGCTTTCCTCCATATCATCGCTGAACGATAGTCTAACTGCAGACTTTTCCTTCCTTCGCTTCTTTTGGATAACGCTATTTGCCGCGCTGTCGTCCTTGACAGCGTGTAAAACGTTTGATTTTCTCTTTCCTTCAGAAAAAGCCTCTTCATTGCTCTGTTGATTTGATACACTTCTCGTCTGAGGGTCCGTTTCATGCGCATCGAATCTGGAATCATCCATCCCTTTATTGTGGAGAAGATTTCCTTCCTCAAAGATTGACTCTTTTTCTGCTTCTCTTACGGTTGTATGGTTGGTAGATCGGCAATCTACCGGAGGCGTGGATCTGCAACTTGCTTCACTGTCCGATTGTTCATCAATCTTATCCTTGTGAACAGCAGCAACAGGAAGTAGAGTTGTCGTCAAAAGATGTGGGTGTGGCCTAGGAGGAGGCATGGCAACTGAATCAATCATCTCTGAGTTGTCTTTGTCCTCGTTGCCGCCATTTTGGTTCGATGCATCAACTTCAGATTCACACGAGATGGACGAGCTCTCCTCAGATTTTTAGCGATTTCAAGCGATTTGCCGCCACAGGAGTTTCCATTACGTGCAATCGGGCGCCACAGGCTTCCTATGGGTGCGCTAGTGCAAGAAGCATCATCTCTGACCACCCTGCATGAGTCGGCTACAGCACATGTCTCATGTGAGGCGCATGAAATGTGGAGGGGTGGGAGGAGAGGCACAAGTGGTGGCGGAGGGGAGGAGGCTCGATGCGTCGCAAGCTCTTCGGAGGAGCCGACTGACGCTGAGGGGCACGGCGCTTCTGGTAGCGCCATGGTGGCCCGGTGGATGTGATGGGAGGGCGGGGTATGAGAAAACAGGGGGTAGTTGGATGGATTAGAGTGAATGGTGGGGTGAGGTAGGGGTATGAATTTGCTGAATTTCGCTTGGGCCGAAGGGGTCATGATAGAGGGTGAAACAGGGTAGGGTAGTAGATTCAGGTTGTGGAATTGCAGGGGTGGTGGGTGGGGTTTTAGGATTAAAGGGGTGGGGGTGGAAGAATCGTCCTCGGGAGGGAGGATAAGGTGAGACTATGCCTTCTGGCATTGAGAGAGACTTAGAGGAATTGCGATGTAGAGGCCCCTGCTTGCACCTTTGACTTGGGTGTCTCACCCCCACAACTTATCAATTGGGGTTTTTGATTCAGAGATTTGTACCAGAACTATTCAGAGATTTGTACTGTACGATCAACATAGATCAGTAGATTTTTTAAAAGATGTTTTTCACTCAGGCAGTAGCGTTGTATTTGTATATTTTTCAGATAGATAATTTTGTATTCTGTTCCGGTACAGATATATTACTTTTTCCTTTTCTTATATGGAGATGGTTTTTAGAGGTAAAACTAGCGAGCTCATAGAAGGAGGGGGTATTATTATTATCTCTATTCGAAGCCAGTAGGGTATTGCTCTAAAATTATTAGTACGGGCAGGTTATTATTGCATCTGGAGATGGTGCAGTGGGGATGCGGGGCTTCCAGTTGTATTGACCCTCCCGCCTTTTTTAGGCCACAAACTTTAGTGCAACCAACTATGCTGCCGGCTCAATCATCCCCCGCCCTTCACCTCCCTCTCTCCCTCCCCCTCTCGCTCCTGATCAAAATGGATTATCTTTCATACCTTCCGCTTCTAATTGATTGTGACAGGATTTTTGCTCCACTGTATAGCATTCCTTGTGATGTCCACTTTTCACTGGATGGGAGGCGCAAGGGGAGTAGGTGGCAAAGTCAAGAAATTAAAATCTTCTCACAAGCAAGAACAGGTAAAGAACTCGATTTTGGCCTCTTTGCTAAACTCTTTCGTTGATAGCTGGAAACTCAGAAAAGCTTTTTCCGTAACATTTCAAGCCATCTCACCCCTGTCTTCAACCACACCACCGACATGCAATCAATGAGTTTGCATGCTTCCTTGGACTTGCAAAAGCAAAACTATTACTGCAGTAATGGGGCTGCTTCAAATACTTTGATTCCTCAGTCGAAATCACCTTATGCCGGGAACCAGATTTGTGACAATTCGGAAATTCAGAAAACTTTCTTGCTCTCGCAGTGCGATTTGATCTCTTCCATGGGTATCCTGCAAGAAAAAGATGTCATGTCAAACATGAAGGAGGTCAATGACGAAAGCGTTTTCCTACAGAAAAAATACTCACGTCTTCCTGTTTTACGCGAGCGTAGCTTCGATCCGGAGACAACTGAACTCCGTAAACCTACAACGTTGCCATTAGAGCGACCATTACCAGAAAGGAGGTTGAAGACAGCTTGTTTCGAATGGGGGGGGGATCAAGAATGTAATGACATCAATCATGGGGCATCGATAAGTACCGTTTTCAACAAAATTTCTAAACGGGTGGTCGCAGATGAGGACCAAAAGGCTTCCTCCTACTTAAGAATCAACAATGTGTCGGACTACAATCAAAATAGCAAGCAAGTTCATGTTCAGGTATCCAAAATTTTTGACGAACCAATCAAGACCACAGCTTTGGCAGTATCTTGCCAAGCACAAGTCCAAACGCAAGATTGCTCTACACAGACTGAAGCACCTGTGCTTGCGCCTTTGGTCGAAATTTCCAGTCAAAAACCACGATCATCTGATGCAAGTCAAGCTTTGGCAATATGCAATCATGTGGATCTTGATTACAAGCTGTCTCACAACCAGCAAGAAGATCATGTACCTTCTCAGAATCCCCTGCCAAGAGTCTTTCAAAACTACGCATGTGTGTATTCACTTCTGAATGAAGTTGGAAGCTCTTGAAAATGTAACAAGGCTGCTGTGATCAGAGGACGTTTCAATTTAGATGCTTGATGTGGATAGCACGCAATTCCAATTTTGATAATTTTCGTGGGACCAAAGTTCGCTTCACGAAACTCCGTCCGGATCAAAGAGTAAACGTAGGAATAGAATAATATGAGATCTACTTCTTGGAACGGCGTGCCTCGACACCCTTGAGATACAGTGAGAAGATCTTCAAACCAAACAGATAATACCTTTGCCAAAGTCTCGAGCATCGATTCTGTCGTTTCCCAATTCACACAGGCATCGGTGATAGATACACCGTACTTCAGCTTGTCAGCTTGCCCTTCTACAAGATCCTTCGGAAAAATTAGGCATGTAAGTTATGCCCAACTTTCATCAAGCTTCTTTACCTGGCGTCCTTCATGAATGTGTGACTCGATCATAACACCAAAGATTTCATGGCTTCCATTTGCAAGTTGGTTTGCAATGTCTTCGGCAACTTTGGGCTGATTCTCATGCTTCTTCGAGCTGTTCGCGTGAGAGCAATCAATCATGACCTTGTCTTATACATTAGGCAAAAACTATTAAGGAAAAGGTCAACCTTCTTGGGAAGATTGTTCTTCTCGAGGATTTTGCAAGTATCAGCGACATGCTGCGCAGAAAAGTTTGGTCCATCACTGCCTCCCCTATGAATAATGTGGCAGTAGGGGTTGCCCTTTGTGCCAACAATGCCAGCAAGTCCCTGATGGGTCACACCCATGAAGTAGTGCGGACAAGAAGCAGCTCTGATCGCGTCAACGGCAATCTGCATAGCTCCTGAAGTTCCATTCTTGAAACCGATGGGGCATGACAAACCTAGTGCAGGAGCATCAAGACTTGCAACGTCACAAATTGAAACACAAACCAGAGGAAAGCTCGCGGTGAAGCTGCGATTCAGTAGTTCTCGCTCCGATGGCTCCCCATGAAATTGTGTCCGCAGTATATTGAGGAGAGATAGTGTCCAGAAATTCCGTGCCAGCGGGAACACCCATCTCATTTACCGACACCAACAACTGTACAGAAGAAGTAAATTGCAAAATTGCATTTTCTTTTAAGGATTACATCGCGAGCAATGTGCAAACCCTTGTTGATCTTGTAAGAGCCGTCGAGGTCAGGGTCGTTGATGAGACCCTTCCATCCAACAGTGGTACCTATGATGACATTAAACGAAACGTATCTCTGACCAAGTCAGAGATACGTGGCTTCTCGAAGTAGACGCGCATGATAATGACGAGGTCTTTCGAGTACTTGGAGATGAGAGGGCTCAGGCGAGTAGCTGGGAAAAGACGAGTAAGTGGCCAAACAGGTTTATGCTCATGCAAACCGTAATCTTTCGCGGACTTGATGTCGTGAATGGAGCACGGACCAACAATAACAACGAGACGGTCATCGGTGCCATCGAGCACATTCTGAACAGCTGATCGAGCAGACAAGACTGTTTGCCTCGCCTGTTTGCAGCCAAAATCAACACGAACTGCCTCATCTGCACCACGTCAGTACAATACCTTGTCCGAAAGCGGAATATCCTCCGTCAAACAAGCAGGAGGGATCAGTGGGCGAACATCTCCAATGCGCGTATCTTCAGTGCTCTGTGCAAGATGTGGTCAGGAATGCCTTCTTTGCTTTCGCAGCGCTTCAAGCGTGTCTTCTATAAGATCACTTTGAGATGGTTTACGAGTGGAAGTCGGGAGATTGCGTGTTAGGAAGTGAAGATGGGGACGCACCTCTGGGCCCACAGGGAGGATGAGAGAAGAAGAGAAGAAGGAGGGAGAGTGATATGAAGAGCAGGAGGAAACTCTTGCGCGCTTCGCCTCTCGCTCTACCTGCGCCATTGTGCACGAGGACGTGGATGTTAGCGGACTTAGAACACCCATGGGGTAGGGGTGATCAATCAACAGGGGTGGAGTGAAGGACAACCTGTCCGAAGGGGTGTATTTCTACAGTGAAATCGCTATCAAGTAGGGGTACTTTCGAGGCCGTCGTGATTTCTCCAGGGGGTAGGTGTTTCACTAGGGGTAGTGGGGGTTTAATCAAGGGTGACTAGGCATCTAAAGGAAGGAAAGGAAAGTAGTGGGGTGGATCGCCTCATTGTGGGGGTGGGGTGGTCAGGTGTGACGGGCGTAGGCGGCCGTTGGGAAAAAACGTCCGCGACACTTAAACAAGCTCGGAAAAGATGAAACTTCTTTACTCAAAGTTAAGTTAAAAATCAGTACGTGAAACCTGTCGGACTCGAACGGCGCGCGGCCCGGCCCTGTTGAGGACCGGCGTCGGCGACTATGATCACAGAGTCACTGACTTGGATCATGATATCAACCAGGGGCCCCCGGCCCGGGGCACCCCGGTGCGGCGGGCATAACTCATCAGATCATCGGCCGCGATCCGATCCGTGACTGCCGGCGCCAAAACTCAGGCACCGTCTGGCACCGCCGGGCCGTTCTTATCGGAAGCGGCCGCGGCCCGGCCCTCCGAGTCACGGGCCGGGCGCGGCCGGGCGAGAGTAACCGTCGACCGTACTCGGCGGCGAGCCTCCCTCGGACCTCGGAGCCTGACTCCGTACAGGCCGCGGCCGGGCCTGCCAGCCTCAGCCGCTGAGCGGCCCGGGCTGCCGGGCCGCGGGCGCCCGCCGGGCGCCCTTCGCTCATTTTCCTGAGCGGCAGAGAAGTTTTACTCACACACAACAAAACAAGACCAGCCTGTAACCAGCACGGCTGGCAACTGTTAGCAGACCCGGCCGCGCCACCGCCAGCCCACGCGCGAACTTCGGAAGCCGCGCAGACAAGCAGGAAGGGCCAACTTCAACTTGAAGTTCCGAGGCAACAGGCGCTAGGAGGGTCGAGAGCGAGGATCCCCGACTGTATCGATGACGCTCTGAAGACCAGCCTCCCTCCGTCCGCTGCCCCAGGCGGACCCCCGGGCAACGCCGGCTCCTTGTCGGCGGCTGCCCTTTTCTCCGTCCGACGGCGGCGTCGGCTGCCTCCGGGTATCGCGTCTAAGGGATTGTATTCCTCCTGCATGCTCCTGCTGCTTGTTGCTTGATTGCTTGACCCTTAGGCTGCTTGTCTGCGCGGCTTCGCGCTTGGGCTGGCGATGCCGCGTCTGGGTGCCAGCAGTGCTGGTTGTTTTCGGGCCGCTTGTGTTTTGTGTGTGATTGTGCAGCTTCTCGCTGTGCGCTGTGTGCCAGGAGGTTTAGGTTGTTCCTGCTTTGTTTTGCTTGAGGCACTTTTTACCTTCTGCCAGTAAATCCAATGTGATGGATGTCAGCGCGAGCTCGATCCCTCCGTTGCTGCACATCATCTCCAGACCTGCAAACGCCGATCCGGCACCCGACGTCACAGTGAGGGACGGAGACGCCTCGCCGTGACGGTCCACTGATCAGTCACGGTGATCATCGAGTCCGGCGATGGCCCGGGATACGGTCACCCGAGTCCTCACGCCGACCGTACGCACAGGCCGCACTGCGGCAGTGAGAACGGTCAGTCACAAACTAAGTTGGCCCGCCCGCGCCGGGCCGGGCTGGGCCCCCACTCCGAGTGTGCTGCACGGCCCGTGACTGCACTGGCGCTGCCTGTTGTCGGGGCCGGCCGCCCCGCGGCCCCGGGCGCGGTGCCGCGGGGCCGCGTGCGGCGCACTGGCCGGGCACCGGGCCGCAGCACTGGAGTCCGATCGGACCGTCGTCACCGGGAGGCCCCGGCGGCGGGCCGGGTACGGTCGAAGCCGCCTCGAGTCCCCGGACGGTCCGGCCCGCCGGCCCCGGCGGGTCGGAGCTCGGGAGCCTCCGACCGGAGCGGCCGCGCCGGACGGTCCGGCCGCGCAAGTCCGGACACGATCACCCGGGGGTGGTAGTACTGTACGGTACTATGATTTAACTTAAGTTTGAGTAATGATACGGGACTATGCGGTCGCAAGTCGGAGATTTGAATTCAAGTCGGGGGGCGGGACTTGAAGGGCAGGAGAGGCGACTAGTGACGGGCATGGTGGAAGTGGTGAGGGACGAGCCGCTATGGCTGCTGTCTCCAAGCAGCGATGCAGCATGCCAGAGAAATGATCGCCGATACATATCCTGTGCTGTTTGCTCTTGGTTGAGAGCATGTCAGACCTTATAATCCCTCTTCAAAAACATCCCACCTCGCACCCGTTTTCCGGAATGTTACTCTATTTCGAGCTGGTGGGGTTTGTCTCGAAACATAGATCACATGGCTAATTGATTAGCATGAACAAAAATAATATCCATGCGATGCTCTACTAAGAACTTTCGTTCATTGTGGATTGTATGAGAACACATGTTTGCAGATATGAGTTATGAGTCAAAGTATAGGCAGATTGGAGATGCACACTCGAGAATGGTCTATTCACGTTGGATGAAGAGTTTCCTTTGATGGCATGAAGTCTCTGACTCTGGTTTGTCAGGCGCTGAAGATGCTTCAAATGCTGAAGAACAACGCCAAGATCCTCATCCCATGCTGTGTCGTCCTCCTGCTGCTCCTCGTCAGCCGCTCCGGTCAGTCATGGGACATGAAGGCCCAGCTAGCTGCACAGGAGGAATGGTTCAAGCAGAACAAGGTGCTCGGCCTCGCTGGGATCATCATCCTCGACTTCTTCTTCATCGTCTTCTTCTTCCCCGGCTCATGGTTCGTGGAGCTCTTTGTCGGGTATACACACCTACTGCGGCTGGCGTTTGTGTTTACCATGTTGCAGCTACATCTTCAAGATCTACTTCGGAGTCATCGCTATCTTGATCGCCAAGAACCTCGCGGCCTCCGCATGCTTCTGGCTGGGTCGCTCGCTACTCTCCGAATGGGTCGCGAACTTTGTGAAGAAGAACGAGACTTTCAGGTAGCTCAACGTCTTTCAAGCTCCTCCCTCGGGCTGTCAAGTCACCTCCTTGCTCTACAGATCCATCGTAGACTCCACTTCCCAGTCTGGTTGGCAGCTTGTGCTGGCAGCGCGTCTTTCCCCGGCAAGGACTGCACTCCCTGATGCTGCTGTCATTGACCTATGAGCTCAGCTCCCCTCCTACGTGTGCAGCTACGGCTTCTCTGTCACTCAGGTCTCCTTCAAGGAGTACTTCCTCGCCACCCTCTTCGCCTCTGCCCCCATGATCTTCATCAACGTCGGCCTGGGCGCCGGTGCTAAAAACATCCAGGATGCGTTCAGCGGCAAGGTGACGAAGACCCTCTTGTGACCTCGCACTCTTCTCTTACTCGTGCCCAGAGCTCCAACAGCACGCTCATCACTCTGCTTCCTACTGCGGGAGTACTGCTCCTGGGCTGGTGGATGCTGGTGCGAGACTCTGAGGGTCACTGTACTCCCCTCCTCATCCTTATATGCAGAAAGTGGTGAGGCGCGAGGCCAGCAGCGAACGAACTCCCCCAAGCAAGGCTCCTCCTGCTACCGAGACTCGGTCACGATCCACCACGAGGGACAGGAGCAGCTCCGCCAAGTCTCCAGCGTCCAAGGCAAGTCCTTACAACTCCCTTACATCTCTCCCTCCCTCCTTCCCTTCTCCTCCCCTTCATCTTCTGAACTGACGCAGGCCAAGTCCCCCGCCCGTGGCAAGTCCCCTGCTCGCCCCAAGTCCCCCGCCCGTGGGAAATCCCCTGCTCGCGCCACCAAGTCTCCCGCTCGTGCTAAGTCTCCCGCCCGCTCTAGGTCGCCCAAGAAGACGCCGTCCAAGGTAGTGAGAGGTGGCGGCAAACGGAACTGACGGGAAGCAGAGCAATCGGAGCAAGTGAAGGCGACGGCAGGAGGAGGCACAAGGTGAAGCTCTCCCGCCTTTCATGTCCTACTAGATATAGTACAAGCGTGTTAAAGATTAAGATAATGATAATAATAATGAAGATAATGATGCCCGTGATATGAGCAATCGACTCCCCTTGTCCTCCATGTCCCTCGACCTAGCGGACCTGCACGTTGCCGACAACAAGAGACTCCGAGGGAGGGAGACCCTTCTCCACCACCTTGAACAACGCATCTCGCACGTGCTGTAGCTCTGCGATGCGTCAGAGCCGCAGCAGCCTCTCCTCTCCTTGTCCTTACCCGCGTTTCTCCTGTCCAGGGCGGCCAACAGCTCCCTCTCCCTCCTTCGAGCCTGCCGGAGCGTCAGACGAGTTTCTCCCTCCCGCCGTGGCGCTTGCCTGCACCGCCTCCTCCAACTTGGCGTTGAGCGATTTTTCTTGTTGCTGCAACTGTAAACCAGTGAGTGCGTGAAGAGGAAACAAAGTGGAGGAGAAGTGAAGCTATGGTCGAGGGCTGCAACCTCCTCGTCTTTCTTCTTGAGAGCTTCTTCCCAACTCCTCAGGCGAGTCTCCCATGCCTTCAGTTCCTCAACCGTCGCGTCACTTTCGCTTGTCATCTGCTGAATCAGTCAACGAGAGGAGTGAGGCGTTGGCGCAGACTTGCACTGAAGGAGGACAAGCCGCTTGTCGCTCCGCTTGTCGCTCCGCTTGATCTGCTTCAAGGAGTCATGGCAGACTCGCTTATCGGGTCCTCACCGTTGAGAGGCACGTGCTCGGAGTGAACGTGCGAGGTCCTGAGACAGCCTAAGCAACAGGCTTTCTCTTCCGGCTCCTCCTCCTCGGCCCCCCACCTCTTGTCCTCAACCTCCTCCCTCCTCCTCGTTGACCTGTTTCCGTATCGCTGAGCAGGTTGCACTCCAAGCGGGTTGCCCCTGGGGGCTGATAACTACAAGAGCGTGAGAAGAGTAGATGAGTGAATGGCAGAGGGAGGGAGAGAAAGGGAGAGGCTTGAGGGGGGGAGAGAAAGGGAGAGGCTTGAGGGAGAGGCTTGAGGGAGAGGCATGAGGGAGAGGCTTGAGGGAGAGGCTTGAGGGCTTGAGGGGGAGTCTCACGTCGTAGCTCAGGGCCTCGGCATGCTTCTCCTGTAGAGGCTTCAGGTCGAGGAGGCAAGAGAGCAAGGTTACCTCCAACACGGCGAGATGATGACCGTTGCTCTCCCTGTGCACGGGCGAGATGAGCTTGCGGGGTCTCTCCTGCGAGCGACGTCAGTTGCATCCTCCATGCGGAAGCAGCTGACCTCGAGGAACCTCGGGGAGATGAGGTTGTGCAGCGGGTTGGTGCTGGTGAGGTGAACGCGTTGTTGCTGAAACAAGGTCAGAGGGCTGCCAGACGGACTCAGGCATCACATGCATCGACGACGGTGACTTGACCTCCCGAGCACTTCTGTTCTCTCTGCTCCCTCCTTCACTCCCGATGCCGTCCAGCAACAACTTGGGGACGAGAGGAACCTGCCACAACCTTCATCTCCTCCTCCACTGCCGGCGCAGCTCAAACCTGCTGGCGGGTGGGCGATCCGAGCCCGACGTCAGGTCGGAGCTGGGAGGGGAGGAGGAGCCCCTCCTGCGAGTGATTCTTCCCCTCCGTCCTGCCCTCCGCACTCCAGCCATCTCTCCTGATTCCATCGAGCGCGCCATGCTCCCCCTGGTGCTGCAAGTCCTTGACGGTCACGTTGGTGATCACAAACGCAGCCCCGCCCAAGTGCGACTGGCGGAGGAGGCAGAGGGAGAGCTCGCCTCCTCCCTTGAGTTCCTTCCTCATGGCTCTGATGTACTGCTTCAGTGCCTCCGGCCTCCACCCTGAAATCTCTCGCCCTTGGATGGCCTTCACCTCATCTCCCACTAGCACGCTTCCTCCCTTCATCTCTACCGCCTCCACGTCTACCGAGTGAACCAAGTACTCCTGGTTCCGCAAGGCAAGTTTGATCCCCTCCAGCTCTTCCACCAGCTCCTCGCTTCGCTCCTGTCGCTGCCAGCCGTAGTTTTGGTCGGGCGTCCTCTTCACGTCTTGGCCGGAGAATCTGGCAGAGGAGATGTGGTGGAAGCTCTCGAAGTAGGAGCTGCTGCCCTTCACGTTGGGGCTGCTCACGGGCGAGGCCCTGCCCACGTCCAGCCGCTGCATGTAGGAGAGCAGCTCGTCGGCGGACGGGCGGCTCTTGGGGGCCTGCTGGAGCATCCAGCAGATGACGCGGTGGAGGTCGGGGGAGTAGAGGTCGGGGATGCGGGAGAACTTTCCCTCGCGGATGAAGTGAGCGAGCTCCATCTGGTTCTGAGCGTCGAAGGGCGGGCGAAGAGCAGCAATCTCGTAGACGATGCACCCCAACGACCAGATGTCTGACTTAGCCGTGTAGCCTGCCCCCGAGATCTGCTCGGGCGACATGTACAGCGGCGTCCCGACTTTGGAGCTCGCGATGGAGTCGGAGTTGACAACAGCAGCCAGCCCGAAGTCAGCGACTTTGACCATGTAAGCGTCGTCGAGGAGGATGTTGGCAGGCTTGAGGTCGCGGTGAAGGATGATCTCCTCACGATTGTGACAAGACTGCAAGGCCTGAAGAATCTGCGACAAGACCCGCCAGATGAAAGCCTCTTCCATCCGAGACTTCTTCGACTTGCAGCGGTCGATCATGGCGCCCACGTCTCCGTTGGAGCAGTACTCGATGATGATGTAGATCTTCTGCTCGTCTCGCAAGATGATCGTGTCGTAGTACTTCACCACGTGCGCATGGTCAACCTCCCGCAGGATATTCACCTCGGTGATCATCATCCTCCTCTCCTTCTTGTTCATCCTCGAGTAGTTCAGCTCCTTCCACACTAAAATCTTCCCGTCAAACACCCGCAACACTCTGCTCACTGTCCCGAAACCCCCCGTCGCGATCCGGTTCAGAACCTGATAGATTTGGAGCCGGTCTTTCTCATAGGAGGGAGGGAACCGCTTGTCGCTGTCAGGATGGAAGAAGTGGAAATCGCCGGATGTCCCGTCTTGCACAAACCACTTGCCGCTGATAGACATGTCGCTCTTTCTCAGACCTTTGAAGGTTTGTTTCCCCACCAACGGGTTGTCATATGACACCACGAATTCAGCTTGCTTCGCGTTGAACTGACCGGTGACATTGAAAGAGCCGTTGGAGTCATGGCCGTGCCCCCTCATCATCCCATCGGCCCCGAAGCTCAAGACCATCCTGACCTCTCTCGACGCTCCTCTTCCTCCGGCCCAGCAGAACCCCTGGAACCCGGGGTCCTCGTATGAGCAGCTGCGAGTGAACTGCATCTCCTGCCGTCGGGTGCAAGGAACTAGCGCAGGTTGGGAAGCCTCTCAGAGGTGGACGGAGTGAAAAGCGATGAGGTCGCAACCTGCACTGATTTCGGTCTAGAAGTTCAATCGACCTGACATGCGCAAACAAACTTCATACGTTCAATCGAATTCATTCCTGCAACCCAAGTCACTGCCAAGGTATGCAACATTATGACCAGTCGAGTCCATAACAGATGAACCGGAAGAAGAAGGCAGAGAAACATTGTTGAAGCAGCAGGAGGTTGAGAGGGGTGAGGAAGCATGAGATCATCGGCAGCCCTCGCAGGTTCAGCTCTTGCGCCTGTGGGGGATCCCATGGGTTGGCAAGCGAAGCAGGCAGCAGGTGAGGGGCGAGCGAGGGACACGAGTGTGGATGACTGTAAGGGAAGTGATGAGAGTGACGAGTCGTTGGATGGAGGCCGAGGATCAGAGCAGGAGGCACATGGACGAAGCCAAAGAGGAGGAAACGAGGAGGAAGGAAAGACTGGAGCGGATGAACATGATGCGATGACGAGGTAGAGGCCATACGAGAAGGCAAAGAAGGGCCGGGTAAGAGGATAATGGACTGAGGAGCAGGAGGAGCAGGAGCAGGAGCAGGAGCAGGAGGAGAAGGAGCAGGAGCAGGAGCAGGAGCAGGAGGAGCCACGACAGGAGCAGGAGGCGCGAGGAAGCGTCTCGGACGGTAACATGACGGTAAAATGCAAACAGGGACGAGGAGAGGGTAGTCGTAGTAGATGAATAGTACCGGTGGTAGTTATGTTACGGTTAAAAACAGGGGTACTCCGAGGTGTAGTGTTCAAGGGGTAGTCCAAGCATCGGCTCGGGGGTAGGGGTAGGGTGGGTCTGAAAAGGAATCGCCTACCTCGGTCCACTTCAGTCATCCGGCGCCGGGACAAGGGCCAAGAGGGGGTGGGGGTAGAGGAGCCACATGGCATGAGGGAGGGGTGGTGACGGTGTTGTAGGAAGTCTCCCCGGACAGTAGGGTCCAACCCGGAGGGTGGAGGGGTTCTGCAGTGTCACGGTCGGCCCGACTGAGCCAGATCAGTTGTAGGGTGGGGTGGTCAAAAGGATTCAGAAGGGTGGGTGGGTACGGAACTTGACTTTACCCGGTTCCCCGCCACCGATAGAAACAGAAGGGCTAACTAAACCCCGCCTGATCTAAACCAGACGCCGTCACGGTGGGGCGGCCCGCGGGCCCGGTCACCGGAGTCGGGCCGGGGTGGGCCCGGCGGCGTACCGACGACGTACCCTGAGTATGTACCTCCGGTTACGCCGCGGCCGGGCCCGAGCCGGGTGACCGGGCGGCATGCCATTCACTCGGATGATTGACTTGAAGCTGATACTAGTGACGGCTGGGCCCGACACCCCCCCGGCGCCGCCCCCCGGCCGTTTTCCGGCCCGGTGGCTGGCCGCGTACCGTACTCCTGACCGGCTGACCGTGTCCCGGAGTCCCGGCGATCACGGTCCGGACTGCGGCAGTGTCGCGCGGCCAGGCCCGCCGGGCCCGCCGAGCCTTCCGACGAACTTCCCGCCGGACCGTAGTACGGTACTCCGGGAACGGTTCAGTTCAGCCTGGGCCCCCGCCGGGCCGGGCGGTGCGGCCCGGCCGGTTGACTCTGAGTACAGTGGTTGACTAATTCAAAATGAAGCTGAGGGGGATGAGTTTTCCTTGTCCAGTCACCATGGACAAGCTGCAGGTGACAGGAGGAGGAGGAGGAGGAGGAGGAGGAGCAGGAGCGAGGAGCAGGAGGAGGAGGATCAGGAGATGGTGGGTGGTAAGAGGAGCGAGGAGC